GGTTTGCTTCAAGAGTTAATAAAATTTACACGTGGAAACAGACGCCGACACGTGTGTTTGAAGTCTGTATAGATATTGTCATAGAACAAGGTCAATTTGACTGAGTGTCCATGTGATTATTTCTCTTGTAGTATTTGCAAAAATCATAACCGTTCGGAGATTGAATCATAGTTAGATAACATACACTTTACGGAGCCATTATTCCTCTTGCACTTATGTCAAATTGCGAACATCTACCAGAAACTATGTCAAAATCACAGACTGAATACAATACATGTTGGAAAGGGGAATCAGTACATTTGTCTTGCTATGGGCGGTTTGTGATTCTTTGTTTTTTCTTTGTTGTCTTTTTCTGCCCATCCCTGCATGTACTATTATATGTTTTTTTCATTTTCCCCGTGCTTCTTTCCTTTCTATATTCAATTCAACGTGGCCTTTCTAGCTGGCTTGTTATAAGGCATTGCTCCACTGGCTTTCTCAAGAATAATCCTTCGATGTACTCTGATAGCAGAGCTTATGGGCGCCATAATCAGCTTATATAACAGCTCGTCTCGTGGAAGCGCTGACCTCGACAGTGTGTTACTTAACGATGCTTATTCTGAATTGCTAAACAGCATTCTCCGTGTTTTCAGACAGTAGATATATTTTCCATGTCGCCGGCTTGCGTCACCCTCGCGACATCTGCATGATTCTGCGCGAGAGATGGGGGAAGAAGGACGTTTTCAGATCTTGTCAAAGGTACAGTTCTCACGTTTCCAGAGCGAAAAGCTCAATGATGTGAAGAAAAAGATGCGACAACGAGGAGAAAATGACACAAACGTGTGAAGAGCTGCCAGAAGCAATGTCACGATCTCGCGAAGCTTTCGGAGATTTCATTCGGCATCTGCTTCAGCCTATATAAATGCAGCTTTACTAAATGGGGGTGTTCGTAAAGTCAACATTTGCTTTTTGCTGCGGTGATGTAACATATCATTACTTACTCGCGTTTGGAACCCTTACCCTTTTGAAACCCTTGGCTGCTGACTAAGAACTATTCGAGTTGGTTGAAATGAAGAAAAGCTGACAAATGGGAAAACTTTCGTTCGTTAGCATAGATTAAACTGTTGATAAGGAGAAAAATGAAGAACATTTTCAAGCGCTCTTAATTGCGTCCCAATATCTGCGGAGAGGCTGTAGGACTCGGGAGCTATAATAGGTTTGGTAACCAGGCTAGGGCCAACCGTGAGTAACAGATGCATAGGTTGAACCCGTCGAGTGCATTGAAGCACTTAATTTCTAACAGTAAATTGAATGAAGAACACCGGTTACCATGATTATTATTCTGTCTATCACACGATAGTCATTCTCACGATTTTACAGGGGCGTAGAAGGCGCCACATCGATCTAACCCTCCTCATTACTGCTCAAAACATCACGGAGAGATTGAGCTATCTAAGCAGACCAGAGAATCTGGCTTGGGCAGGTTCGTCTGAGAACGTAAAAGTCACCACTAACGATCTTAATTGGATGGCAAACAAAGATGCCTGTAGCTAGTTAAAACCACCATAACCCTGCAGGTGATACTTAGGTAGGATCATACATCTTCTAGTTACCTGGTACTAGCGTACAGCTGCTGTAGGTCTATAAAATGTCAAAATTTTTGACAATATTTTATCAGCAGAGCTGGTCTGGCGTGGGTTAAGTCCCAGAGAACCTGTTGCCTGACTCACTTCACCCACCCTCCCCATTAGGGCCGCACCCTACTGCCTCCCACGAGTGCAGAAAATTGATTATCATCATAGATGCTTTCTAATGTCGTTACTTGTGAATAATACGGATGTGCTGGTTGAGTGATTCGATGCCCTGTCAAAGATCAGTTGCAGGCGAAGGGATCCTTTATAAAGTTCTCTAGTGACTGTTGATTCCTGCTGGAAGACAGGATGGCTGCCAATCATCTTTATGTCATTCTTAGCGTTTGTGATGGCAATACTGCAACTTCCCATGGCGCGCGCTGACCCTGGCCTTCTCACAAGGATAACGTTCATCCCCCTGAAGGTCTGTATCCATCACCGTCACTTAGTTTCCAGACTTGTATTCCGACGGCTGTCTGTTACTGTCCCGTCATGCAGGCGTCTACATCTGTTACTGTTAATTAGTTCGCTGTTTTCTCCGCGGTGCTGACTGTTCTGACGCACTTCGCATTAACTCCCGGTCACCCAGGTGGCCTTTACTGCTCACCATTTACTCCGGGTAATTCCAAGAAAAGTAGACGCCCGGGCGTTAACTTGTCAGCCAAACGGTGGTTAGATTTGGCAAGAAGAGGTAGACATATTGCGCAGAACAAAAATCAAAACCACCGACACACAATTTCTGACAAAGTTTACATAACTAAAATGTTTCAACTCATTAGACTAAATAGCCCCACCCCCACCCCTCGGGCTTTAGATGCAAATTTTGAGTGACAGGATAACATCGTCAAATTGCATTCTAAAGATACCGCATTTTTTTCTTGGAGGACTGTTTTCAGGCCGGACATGATTCGCATGTCTGGTACTGTAATCACGAGACACCTGTAAACCTCCGAAAGCCGGAAAGGGATTTTTGATGCCTCTGGGCAAAACTAAACACATCATAAAGACATACAAAACCTTCAAAAGGCCCCGTAACAAAACTAGCTTGGCGTGCATACAGTTATTTATAGCAAATGTCCGGAGGCACTGCCCTGCCTTAGGAGATACTCAGTCCAAAGACAAATGAGCGGAAAGAAACTTTAAAGATATTTGATCATGTTTCATCAAATATCAAAGCATAAAAAAGTGTTAGATGTGGGCAGTTAGAGCAGTAACGGGTCGGGAGTTTGGCGTGTTACGATTCTATTTCGAATACATACGAGGTTTACAGTACTAAAGAGAGATGGAAGTCCAGTATATATAGCTAGAGGGTGTTCAGAATATCGAAATGGCGGTGCCGTAGATAGTTTTCCTTCCCGTCGATGATGGTCTTCGTTGAATGCACTGAAATCTTGATATGTCTTTGACTAGGTCAGTGTCTGAAGGTGAACCTGTGTCGTCGAGACTCACTAAGTTATAATGTCACATGACAATGCTAGTGGACTGAGGTACAAAGGCAAGTCAGTGCTTAGAGATAACTGAGACATGTCCCAGAGAGACAGAGGGCATCTCACTGAAGGTGAGCCTGTGCCATCACCGCTCACGTTACGGAGTTCACTGAACCTTTCCTGACGCTGTAACGTCAGGTGATGACGCTAAGGGAACGGACAGGGAAGGCGAGGTAGTGTCTAGACTAGACTAGACATGTCCTAGGGGGTGTTGACGGCGTGACTGAAGTTCATTGATCTGCTGGTTCCCTGGTTACTAGTATTAAGTTACGTTGGAAACGTCTTCATGTCATGCAGGTGACAACGCCTTGAGCGACGGGAAGGCAAGAGAAATGTCTTGTTCATCTCATATAGGCGGCACTTAAAGTACTGAATTTCGCGCTGTCCTCGACAGCTTGTACACTGACCTGTGTGTGGTTGATTGCATTGGCAGGACTTCTGTTCGCGGTAGGTTCACAGTTAGTTATCCTTGTAGTTGTTTACATGCGCATATATGCCATACATCAACATACGTACATGTTAGCCTTCCTGCTTCATAACACAAACAACCGGTGCTATATTGGAAGTTTTGATAAGTCTCTCTCCTCGATGAGTCAAACATTTACTGTCTGTTAATTGAGAATATGTTGCATAAGATACGATCCAAGCAGAGGTTTGGGTTTTGGGGGTATTTTTTAGCGTGTTTTTAGGCTTTTTTGGTGGGGAAAAAAATTCAGTGCAAAAGAGAAACCCCGATAAAAAAAGTCTAAAAACACGCTAAAAATACCCCCAAAACCCACACCTCTGCTTGGATCGTATCTTATGCAACATATTCTCAAAACCTCTGCTTGGAGAGTAGCATAAGAGTCTTATGAAGGGTTTGTTATATAATGTGCACACTTATTGGCGAAGCGTTTATTTTGCGGCTGTATACCACGGGCGGTCATTACTTAAGTTTCAATTCAGCCACTGGAGTATGACGCACGCCTTATTCTAACAATTCTATGAATAGTTCTGGCCATCGTCTCAATCTCCTAAATGTTATTTAGTAGCGTGAAAGAAATTTGAAAAGGTGACCTCGTAGGAGGAAGAGAGGTCGTCTGAAAAGTCCGATCAAGTACGCCGTACATTGTTGGCCGCAGTGCGCAAGCTCTGGAAAATTACATTTGTAAGTTCAAATCTCCACCAAAGGCAATGCGTGTGCGGGTCAGATATGACAACAGCGCTTTTTGCGTCGTGACTGATGTTAGCCTAGTCAGTATCTACCGTCCGATGTATCAATCCAAGCTCGAGGGAGGAACCTTGTGGGGATATGGATGGCAGGGGTTGACAGATAACAGATTTGATACCGTGTTTGGCGGGCCGGAGAACTCCCAGTCTGGAAGGCTCTAAGCACGGAAAATTAACATCTGCCTGGCCTATTAGAGCAGGCATTGGGAGCAGATCCAGACAGAAGGCTCCAATTGACACAGCAGGTTAATATTGAGTAGATTACTTGCTCATTCAATGCATCTACGTCAGCCCGAATCCCATGAACAATTTCATAAAGTCGTCCAATTAGGTTTTATCTTACTTCGTGCGAAAGAGGTTCTTTTCCTACTTGGCTGCCCTAATTGTAAAAGAAATTGCTTCTCTGAAGGGAACCCCACTCTGACTGCAGCGGTGACAAGTCGTTATGGCACAAATTGCTAATTTCCCGACCAAAATGAAGACAGGTAGAGACAAGTCAGCTGCTGGAGGGGTGATTGGACCTCGTTAGTTAAGTGCCAGGTTGTTGACAGGAGGAGAACGACTGACATCCAGTGACAACTGGTCGCGTGTGCCAGCTTGGCAGGCTTTAGCCAGCCTTGTAATGACAGAGGAACACATTAACGTAAGTGCCGGTAATATTCGCGGGGAAACCACAAAAGCTGACACTACTCACCTGAGGAACATAAACATGCCGGCCCTGTCGATATTCCGGGCGACGGACTTCCACGACTTCTCCAGGTGGAATTTCTGCCGAGCGTCCAGCGGAAGGCGCGGGTCCACCGGCGGGGGCGCCTCGGGCTCGGGTAGAGCAGGGCCCGCCCGCCCCATCCCTGCCATCGAAGCCGAGCAGCCCATGTGGTTACCTACGGGCAGTTAAGCGTCTACTTCTTGACGTGCCTTTTGGCATCGCACGCCCTGAAAATAGTGAGCTTTTTGTTGCATCCTTGCGTCATTTCTATACGTCATATGTAGAAATATAAAGATAAAAGGCCTCTGATATCCAACATGAGCACTTACGCAACTGTCACCTAAGGCGACGGACCACAACAACAACAGTCTCCACGCGCGCAGACGGCTTCTAGAACTAACTGAGGAGAATTACCTCTGTCTGTTCACTCGTGACGTCATGCCATGGCAACAACCAATCAGGAGCCATCTCTGATGGCGAGAGTCAGGGGTCTACAAGGAGTTAACATGCAGATTACCATAATTGTTTTGAGCTCCCTGAAGCCCGTAAGAAACAATTTAGTAATTATCCAGGTAATAAAGTCACTGTCCGTGGTGCTGAAATCCCATCTGTTAATGTAATACACGAGACACCGGGAGTTATAGGGCCTGCAGGGCGACATGATCGGAAATTTCGGAACGTTTCAAATTTTGATATACTCCATGGCTTCAATTTAGGCAATTGCCGCAATGTACACCAAATAAGCAATTGCGTTATGCATAAAGAAGGGGATCGATGTTATGCATCTGCAATGAAACAAGTCGTCACCTCCACGGTCATGGCTTTAGTCATGGCCTATGTAGAGACGCCATTGCCGCCCATGAGGTCTATTACATGTGTGTTACGTTACACATCAAAAGGCTCGGATTACGGAAGGATAGACTGACTCGTGGAAAAAAAGATAGCAACCAATGTTTTCGTGGAAACGTATGTATGCAGTTCAGCCCACACAAAATTGCTTTCGTGAATGGCATCCTCTGGTAACCCGTTATGTGACGCGAGTGTGGAAAATCTGTCTTTGTTTAAAATACGATGTTGACATGACTATGTAGGGCTTAAATGATTGGCGCGCCACTTTATTTGTTCATTTTTTAATCGCGGCATATTTTGTGTGTCACGAGCCATCTAGATGCATTTGAAATGCATCTAGATGGAAATTTCTCAAATGTACGCTTAAATCTGGGTGGCGTGATCAAGATATCCATTGACGACGTCGTTGTTTGTATATCTGACATCCTGGTGAACAGCGTGTGTTCATAACGTCACGACAGCCGTCACCATCGACCCAGATACATAATTGAGTTAGGATGTTATCAGGGGTCTCTAACAATCGTTACACATGTTTCCACACGGCTTGGTGTGTGCGTTTTGTAGTTTTGCCTCATCGGTTAGGCTTATTGGTTGTGCAATACTGCTTTCTTATTATGTGTATTTGTGTGCATTCTTTTTGCTACTAAACGTTGGCAAAAACTAGATTATTATAAAAGCCATGAAGACAGTAATGATACCTAAATACAATGTAACATGGTGAAAAAGTGCCAGTAACTTGTCAACCACTAAGTTCATACCATAGTAAACATGTACAATGTGGTGTCAGGAACGTTTCAAGATGCCTCTGATGGTGGTGGGATCCCGCGCCAAGCACATACCCGCAGCACATCGTTCTTGTGAACATTATCAGACCAGGTCGAGGCTTGCACACAGATACTTCTGCGCCACTATAAACACAACCATTACACCTGATGTGTCCGTCCAACACGAGCAGCTCGCACCCTGGAGGACAATCTCTTACCGCCTGTCCTCCCGATACCGCCGCCCACTAACGCCACTAACGGTCAACGGTTGGGACCATGAGCAATTAACGAACTGTTGACGGTGTTGTGTTCCGTTTTAAACCGGAGTAGACGAGGTTGGGTTGCTCTATAATGTAAACGCTATAGATATATGTTGATAGATAGTAAGGTGGTAAAATAACTAGTACGTTGGTACAAATAAAAATCAAGATGAAACCTCCTTGGTACAAAGTTTGAAAGGCATTTTTCGACATCATTACTTACCATAACACATAAAACACTTATCGCATTAAAGATTGATACAAGAAGTTCGGGAAACTTTTATATTAAAACATCTGTCTTGTCGCTAGTGTTATATTAGTTGTCACGCATGTGTAGCTCTCACTTGAGAACTATGTACAATTACACGCTCTTTGCATTGCATACGCTCAATCATCTTGCATGGCAAGGACAGAAGTACCATTGTTTCTGTGTTTATTTTCCTCAGCTCACAGGAACGTTTATCAGTAAATCAGACTCGCTGCAGGGCGAGCGCCTATAATGGAGTGATGTCTTATCACGCCGGCGAACAAAAATGCAATTAAGCAAGTCTTCATCCAGTTATCGAACAATCCATCAGAAGAAAGAATTGTATCTTAGCATAAGCAGTTTATCTCTTATTTCAGACTCTTTGAAGCATATATGTCAAGATAAACGTCAAGATATGGCTTTATCAGAAGATATAACTGCGAGAACATATGGTTTTGACTTAACCATATAAGATCAATAACATTTTGTGGTTCTATTGCCATGGCTATCTTTTGCTTACGTACATTAGATAGATGTGGATATCAACTGCTTTTGTGCAAAATGTTGGTTTTAAGATGAGAAGATGCATTTGTTCCAAATGATCCTCCTCCAAGCATTCATCACGGAACAGTTGTGTCCTGATCATGACCGCAACAAACGTACCTGTGCTTTCTTTCCTGATCCTCTGCCAACACGAAATGTCGGCGTAATGGCGTTTATAAATAAACCATGCGAAGCCGACACGGCAGTTGGTAAGTTAAGTCGTTACCCCGCGCTCCTTACATTAATTGCTTGACGGCCCAGGCGACGTGGAAAATGAATGAGTGTTATTAACATCTGGGACCCGCATGAACAAACTCAAATGGGGAATGGCGGAGAAAATATCTAGAGGCAGGCGTTGGAAAGTTGTCGCTGACACAGCTAATTAGTCTTTCCGACGAGATTGACTGCACGACTCCAGGAAATTTCATTATAACAAATAAACTTAAGTGTGAACATGTTTGGGCAGCTGGCACACGATAGATTCCCGTGAATTTCCCGCTGCCGTTTTCGGAACTCGCCACCCCCTCTCTGTATCTCAACCACCTACGATAAAATAGTGAAATGGAAAGGATGGAAATATCTGAATGTTTTGCGTTGGAAGATAAATGTGCCTTGCATACAGGAAATGAAGACTAATCTAATGCTTATGGATGGCAACTCGCTTCCACTTTTGGATGCACTTGCATTTCAGCTTGCAGCCAACAGGGGGCATTCCAATCCAACCTAGTAGTTAGAAAATGCTGATTGGTTGTCGAAAGTTTAAAACGTTTATCTCAACAACTTAGGCTGTGGTGTCGTCCCCTTCCTTTCAATGAATGAATGGAATCACACAATGGCCTCAAGCAGGAAAACAAAGTACCAATGACAACATCTCACACGCTCAAGATATACCGTATAGTCTTGAAAGTTTGTATTTGACAACAAACAAGTCATTAAAAGACACACAATATTTCACAGAAAATTTTGTTCCAAACACCAACATTATTTTTCATGTGTTAGTGAGGAAGTTAGAATACATACCAGAAATGAGCAGTTTGTTCAGTAATATACAGCTAATACAGATGTATAATGGTTAAAATTCATCATAAAATATCTGAATTTGATTAAGAAGCTGTTTAAGATGCATCTTAGCTTCTTGACGTGATTGGCATAAAAGTTTTAAGTAGTCAAAGTTCAGAGCTATTTCTCAAAATATCATCAATGTTGACATGAAAACTTTCCCCACACTTTTGTAACATGTGACGTACAATGTTTGTTTCTACCTTTGCTTGTATAAACATTATTTTTCATCAGCACTTCCTGTAGCTCAATCACACACCACAATCTTATGCCCCATTTCACATATCTGTTCTAACACTTGTACATAAACACAATGCAGGTAAGACCAACAAGAATCAAAATTCACTTCATTCAAAATTTTACAAAGATTCTTCTCATACAATGGCTATGTTGCACGGAAAGCCTCACCCCACAGAATAAATAACAGCCATGCAAATGTCACAGTACATTCCATTGGGCTATTCCAGCTAGTCCATGATTCTTTGTGTAATTAACTGCCATCCACGACATTGTTTCATGGGCACTGCTGTTGACTATTCCACACAAAAGGTATCAAGAGCATGTCAGATTTTGACTTATCACTTTCACACAACTATCTGTAGCAAAATATTCTGGCTTATTAAGTATACAACAGTAACAGTTTGGTGCTGTATGGCACCTGTAGGGTACAAAATGTTACTAGTATCTAAAAGAGCTGACTTTAGTCAAGGAAAAAGATGTCCTGGTACCGAGCATTTATTATACCTGTGCTATAAATTATATTTTCAAGCAATGGTCCTTACTGAATTCAATCAATGCAGTTGTAGCCTCCATTATGAAACTATTACCAACTTTTTCTGCAGTACACACACACACACACACACACACACGCATACATACATACATATATATATACAAACTGTATGTACAATTGTAAAGTCAACCCAACATTGAAATGGATGTTACAGGTAGAGTGATCTTAACATTAGTTTCAGCTTGCTATGGCGGAATATCTTAAACACACACAGTGTGCGACTTACAAACCTACTCAAACAGAAAAAAAATACTTGTCCACCAGGTTCAAAAACACCGTAACACACAGTTATATGAGGATTAGTTTAAGGTCATTCCTCTTCTTCCATTTTCTGATAGAAATTCAGGGAGGAACAAATTGCTGGTGTAGCCTAGTTTAGTTTTCACATCTTAGATTTAAATACAAGCAGTAAAATTGTCCCAATATAATATCATAAAAATATGAAAAGTCAACAGCAAGGGCTGGGAGACCAAAACTAAAATTTTCAAGCAAAACCTTACCAAAACCTCATTTTTTCCACATCCAAACATTTTTGACTAAGATAAATCACATACCATACATGGTAATCAGAAAACTAAGCCACTTCATTGGACCATTTCTAACCAACCAGCACACAAACCCATACCAGATGCTCAATGTGTACAATCACCAGGGAATCACATAACATGATCTAATATGAAAATAGAATTTGACAACATTATAGTTCTCTTTATCCACATGCTACCATCAGGAAGAAAATGCAGCATATCCACATGAGTAAGACCCTGAAAACTTTACAACATTAAAATTTGGTCTCAACATATGGAAATCTTCCTGACAGTTGGTCGCTGCTACATTGTACATGTGTCAACAACATGGAATGTTACACAGTCAGAAAAATTGGTCGTTTTCATACAAAAACCTTTTTACACGCACTCCAAAAAGAGACTACGGGAAAATTAGGAAATTTGCATGGACTTGAAGCTATACCTTGGAAAGATTACTTTTCTCAATAAAGTAGATTGTTGATTAAAAAAATTTCATCTGGGATTAAAAGAAGCACACTCATTCTGTAGAAATTTTCCTTCTTATATGCTTACTAAAAGACCTTTGGATTTAACAATATATATACAAATGGTTAACCAAAAAATTAAGGATGTGTTTAGGTATCACACTCAAACTTCTAAAGTTTTTATATACAGCTCTGTTTGTTAGACCATACTGTAGCTACATATAAATATAAAAACTACAGTTTGTTTTTTGCTACAATGGACATAAGTCAGCACACTGTACATGACATCGGTGACCTTCAAGCACAGCCAGGGTTCCTACGAGATCCCTGATTTCACTGTGAAGTCTGGAATTCTGCGTGCTGGGTCCATCGACCCCCCAGGGTAGGGCGGGGGGTTGTCTGCAGGACGGGATTGGCTCTGGAATGTAAAATTGGAGAAAAAATGAGCAACGTAAAGATAACTAATGACACATGACAAAAGTTAAGATCAAGTTTTCAGCTATTGACAGATGGTAAGTTGCAAGTGTCAACGAAATTAATAATAGAATGCAATATCATAATTTTCAGCAACTCATAGAGTGCCAATTTTCTAATTTTTCAAATTTAGGAAAAAGTTTTGTGTGATATTTCAGATAATGTTTAAGAAATTATGGATACTCTTGGATACGCTTTCTCTGTAATTCAACCTTCTTTGTCCATACATTATTCATTCCCTTATCCTGTCATACACACATTAATATATGAATCTATTATATTCCATACTTACACTAGCAGGGGTGGCCACAGTGAAGAGTTCAGTAAAGTTGGGCCCCCTCCCCCAATAAAGCTGCTGTCAGTGCTGTACATGCTCTGGTGTGGGAAATGATCCAGGTTGACGCCGTTTGCTGTTCCGTTTGCTATTCCGTTTGGCTGTGGGCTGTGCTCATAGTCATCAATGATGCCAATCTGCAACAGATATAGATATTACAATTTTGAAGACCCAGCAACAATTATGAAGACGATGAATTAATAAAAATGCTTTTGTGCCAAGATTACATCACAAGGAGTGCTCTACCTGAGATGTCCTGACGTGGAAGGGGAAGTTTTTGTTGGCTGCTCCAGGTCTGGTCAGGATCTGGAAACACAGATGAGCAAGAATTACATTTCAACATCTTTGATGGTAATACTCATAAACAAACAAAAATAAGAGCTCATTATAACTACCAACTTATTGGTAAATTGTTTCTCCATCTCTTCATTGACAGACTTACCAGAAAGAATGTATAAGCACAGAAAGCGAGGGACTGTTCCAGGCCGTTGACTATCTTCTCCCTGGCCCATTTAGAGATCACAAACGCTGCGATGAGTACCATGATTGGCCCAGCCAGGAACCTACATACACACATGAACACAAGAACAAATTACTACAACATCGTCTATAAAATAGACTGTTATGCTAAAATATCATTGTACCCTGTCACTACTCATTTTAAAAGCAACCTTCTAATTAATAATGGGAAAGTATGAAATATATGACCAAACTGCAATCCTACCATAGCTAGAGAAAACGATAATGAATCTTAAGACAAGAAGAAATGGTTAATAATAAGGTTAACTTTTTAAGAATTAAAACAAACAGGGACCAATTTCTTCCTACTATGTAAGAATTCATGTCCATACTCACCACAGAGTGTAGAAGAAGAAATATGGAACGTAGAAGAGCGACTTTTCTGGGTAGTGTTTGAGGGTGAAGAAGATGGCGTAACAGAACCAGAGCCAGCTGAGCAGCTGGAGACCGATCAGTCCGTACCCCGCGGGACTCTCGTACAAGTACAGCACCAGGCCAGCATCAAAGAACTGAAAAAAAAAACATGTTATTAGGTCCATGAAAAAACTATATACTTTTACTTAGATTATAAGCAGAAATATAACATTCAAAGTATTCCAATACCAAAAAAATTCAATCCTTTAATTTTTTTAGATCAAAGGAGGAAAAGACAGATTAATACATTTTGTACTTGGCAACATGATCATCAAAACAGTAGAGTAGGATTGAGACAGGAGTACAAAATATCTCTCACTTCTCACACTTTGGCAATGAAACTGACCTTAACTGTCACATCAGTCAGTAAATGTTTATACGAACGATATGAAAATGATGAGACAGCAACATTCAGCTATTACATTTTCATTACAGGAAACAGATTCTGGAAGACATACCTCCCTCTCGTAGATAAACAGGATGGCGTAAGTGAGTGTGTAGAGCGTCATGAACACTGAGATCTTCACAGAACCAGAGTGACTCAACCGACCTCTGCAAGGAGACAGGGAATTTCTCATATTGTCATATCCAGAATTACAGTGAAGGTAGTTAATCTAGAATCCTCTACACACTTACTCAAATACAGTCCATTGTTAATCTTTGAATTTGAAAAACAAACAAACATAGGATTTAGAGGCTCCAACATTTTTTTTTGTCAAACACCTGTGCTTAAGAAGATCAACAGTTGAAGAGAAGTCTCACCTGGTGACAGTGTAACCCTTCCCCAGGAGGATCAGCATCAGGAGGAACACAAGGGAGCTCACAGACTGGAAAATCCGACCTGAGAAGTGTCATTAATAGAATTAAACATTTTAGGAATCGGTTGCATTTTCTAACACCATACGTTTGTTGTCGACACCAGATTTTGACACTTGAATTGAATCTTCAAATTCAGTGGAACTGTAAGTGCCAAACTGCCATTTAATGACATCCATACATACTTCTTTTACCTTTTTAAACTATTAATTTTTGTTTTAATTAAGTTTTTGGGTGTGAATCTTGCAGTTTGCCAATTAACCTAATGAAGTTTTCTAATAAACTTCACAGATAATCCTATTGTCCTTGGTCTGCCCCTTGCTGAGAAAAATGTAATCTAATAAGTAAATTCCTTACCTAAGAGTTGTGCAGCAGGCAGACCTATGCCATCATTCCCATACTGTCCGTAGTGCAGGCACAGCAAAAACAGACTAAAAACTGAACAACAACAAAAAAAGATTATAAAACACAAATAGGCCAACTTGTAGAAAAACTTACAAACAAATTACAGGCATAATAAGATATCTAAACATCACAGTTGGTGATAATCTCAGACTTAATGGGTATGTGAAAACAATGCTATGAAACTCATTCAAAATTTACAATATAAGGAACACAAACTTACCATGAAATCCAACAGCAGCCATGTACATTTTGTAGGATGTGTGAAATAGTTGTCGCGACCGAAGAATGGCTGAAAGAGAATGAGAACAAATGTTTAATATACCACAATACAGCCAAGACAAAGTTCTTGTACAACCAGACCAGTGTTGCCAAAAGAACATCTGAAATACACTACAGTTCCTACAGGAACCATGTGACATTTAAAAGTTCCATTTATATAGTACACATTGACTTCTGTATAAATGATGTCACACCTGAAAACTGAATACATGTGAAAGGAAAGTGAAATACTCATTTATTCATGAAAGTTCAATTTCCATTGTGATATTTCATATACTTGCTTATATCATCTAACATTAAAAAGACTGGCACTTAACTAGGCTGTAGTACTAACACCCAAATGTGCTAACAATGTGTTTAATGAAGACTGGTACTTACTTGCTACCCAGACAGACAAGGCCAGGATACCAGCAAACAGAACCAGGAATGTGATGTCTGTCTCCAGGATATCTGATAGGGAACCAAAGCAGCAAATTAACAAGTAGTAACCACAAGTATAGCCTAGAAATTATGTCTTTTTGTTATCAAGCATTCAATGACAAAGTAGTAATTTCAATCATTTACAAGAAAATATCAAAATATGTGAAAATGTTGACTTCTCTATTCTGAGGTGAAACTTCATTTGTAGAGTTAAGGTTAAATTTTGAGCTTAACAAGTTGACATTATGAACCCTACTGTATGCAGCTTCATCAAGTATTAGGAATGATCTACTCACGAAACTCATCAGCAGAGAAGTGTTGGGTCCAGTAGCTGTTGCCGTTTGTTAGTGTCATCTCATACTGGATGTCAAGGCCCTGTGTGTGTAACAAACACATACATGTTAAAAGAGATACCTTGAAATGCTTAGGTGTTTTGAACTTTAAGAACTTTTAGTAGTTCCTTAAATAAAGAGTTAAGTATATCATATATAGAGTGCAGAGAATGCGTCCTCTCTTAAAATCTTTTCAAGGATATGGGACAAGATGCCATGATGCCATTCCTGAGCTGCATGTGCGTGCCACGTCAGCAGGCATTGTGAATATTGCCAGGTGTTTGTAGGAAAGAATGGGCTCATCTTCCAACAACAGGCTTGAAGTGCTGTAAACATCTCCATGCAATAAGTTTGTTTTTCATTGCAACAGAAGTTGGCAGGGAGACGGATAAAGGAGGACAGTTTAAGAAGCAGTCACACTAGTCGTACGATTTTGTTTTTGCAGGATTTTCACAGATGCTATGGATGGGTGAACTCCGTTCAATACATCCACAGATGTGCTAAGGATGTCCCCAATTTTCTGTCATTGACCCATCGTACGACAAATGTGACAAGACCCTAAGGAAGAGAAACACTAGGGCTAAGGATGTGTTGATAGGAACAGGGTGCGACACACTTACATGAAAGCCTCACAGTTGGACACTGCAATATACCACCATCGTTCCCTAACCGACTGAAAGGAGCGACCTCCTCCACACGTCATTGTGTTCGAGCCATCGTCGGAGACCACTGGCTCGCAGCCAGACCATACGTACTGCGTGGTTAGGTTTAGCACCTGGTTGTTATTTACATTAAGCACTGCCTCTTTCGAAGAGCAATTCTGAAAAACAAACGGGGTATTTTCACAATGAATGAAAGGGACAGCTCGACTTACGTTTTTGCCATCACAGTTGCTAATAGCGATGTACCACCAGCGTTCACGGGCTGAACGGAAACTACGCCCACCCCCGCAGGACATGGATTCTCCATCATCGCTGAGCTCACAGCCGCTCCACCTATAACTAGTGGTCAGGTTGATGACCTGGTTCTGGTCTACGTTAACTACTGCCTCCTTTTCAAAGCAATTCTGCAAAGAAACAGTGTACACAGACAGCAGTGTTAGCATCGGTAAAGATGGACCTTGTGAGGTTTTTGATTTTCCAGCACTCGTTTATCTCATTTTGTCTGGTATTTAAATTACCTAATTAAAGCATGTATGGGTGACACACAGAAGTATCTTAAGTTAAAATGACTGTCAAGGTAACAGAGGGTAACAGACAATTTAGACCAGACGTTTTATCATCTTCAGTATTGCAGTGCACACAAGATGAATAGACCAGAATACTGAATTTGAATCAACTAGAAGTTCTACAAAGTCCATCTTTCGGGTTAGTATTTATTAGCCAACAAGCAAAGCAGATACATGAATCAATTTGCCATTATTTGCAGAAAAGGCAAGAAGAATAGGAAACTCTAGAAAGTGAACTTAAGCAAATCTACATATGTTGAGAATCTTTTAATGTACAATAGTGCCCATTGACTTTAGGCTTAAGATCATTGCTTGCTTCTTGTCAGGTATGCCATTTTGTAGTGTTTCTGTGTGTGGGTTACATGAAATTTCACGATGTTGTTTGACTCTCCTTAGTTAGCCCTACATTTGTACAAATTGTTAGATTAGAGGATGAAAAAAATTGTTTCACAACATTCCTACAATCAAGGGGCAAGATTTTAAACCAAACACTTCCACAGAAAGACAATCTTCTTTGAACAGTTTCCAAAATTCTGTTTCCCTTTTCAACATAGCAAACAAATAGAAGGTACACATATAATTTCTTCAATCTCCTCAGTATCTACAGTTAAAATGTGACCTTTTTTCTTTCCTTCACCTTCTTGTTAGCCTAAACAATTGCACACATGCCAATGAAAGGGCTTCAATCTACCATTTATCCCGTGCAAATGTTGACCTAAAGAGGCAAACCTACATACTGGTTCAGCACAAAACAAACATGGCAACGTCAGGTTTTGTTCCACTGAACCACGCAGGAGGTAAAGTCTGCCAGGTGAATAAGGGATTACGGTTGCTACCCCCCCAGCGGAGCAGACGTAAGAGTCAATACAAATTTGTAAGAGAACAAACAATGTACAGAGCGCTATGTTCTACTGGCTGCCACCTGTTTCTAGAATCAAACAAGCTTGAACATGGGCAGAGTACTCTTGTATGGTACATGACGTGAACTTCTACTAAGTTCTAGTATCATTTGTTATCGAAAAAATTAGGATCAAGACACTTCAAAAACTCAAACACTGCTGTCAAACTTTGGCCAGTTAAGTAGAGAGAGTACACGACAACAGAGGTATGCAAAGAGGCGGTAAAACCAAAGCCTGTAATCCCCCAACGCCTTCCACTTTTTGTGCCTGTGATCAAAGCCCTTGACCTTTGAGGGCAGACTGTTACAGTAGCTTGAAAAACAGTTGAGACTCGTGTATTCTGATTATTGGTATCGCTTAATCATTAAGTTAAACATATGTCAAATCTGAAAAAACTAGATCTGTGAAAATAGTCTGAAAACAAAAGTCCCAGTTAAACAATATTCAATGTCAATTATGCCAGCCTAAAATCTGTTAACTGTTGGGAATGATAACAGAATTTGAAAATATACTCAAGACAAAATGTCATTTAGAAATGAAAATAGTAATAAACTAATAAAGAAAGATATTACTCATTGACAAGTGACACAAGTATGATCAAACTGAAACATGAACATTTTGTATGCACGTCAGGCCTCATGAAAAAAACAAAATTCAGAGAACACACCTTTTCTGGATGTGGGTACACAGCTGGCCATTGGTCCTCCTCATCATAATATAAGAGAATGTTCTGACAGCCAACACTGTTCCCACATACCTCCTGTGGACAGAAATATCATCAGTACATTAGAAACTGTAGGTACATTCCCTGATCCCTACTTTGTACGTACTGTACCAGTCCAACAATACAATAACAGGGTTATAATACTTGAGCTGCTGACTCTGTGAAGAAGAATGTATGGTGGTATTACTATTAGTATACTAGCTAGCCGATGTCTAGTCTCTTCTTTTATAACAAAGTTCACTTCTCTATACATGTGTATTTTACTATGAAATCCTGACCTAAAACAGGCTTAGGCTGATGGGCCATTTCAATTTCTGGGTTGATAATATTGATTGATTGATGGATTAATTAATTGATCTATTTGAGAGTCAATCATGTGGGCAAATACTATAACCTTATCAATATTAACAACCTGCATATGAGCGACCTGGTATGGTGCTGATATCACCATATGGTTACTGACATTGCGCTCCCACCAGACGGGACATTACATGGCTGTTTGTTCAGCCGCACCTTTCAGCCTCTTGTGTTTTTCTCATGCTTTCAGTCCCTCCAACACAAGTACACAGAGGGAGAAATGAAAGGGCTTGACAGTACTCAGGCTGGTGGTTATTTTGAGGACTACTGGTGCATGTGAATTACTGAAAAATCAATATTTCAGTTTCCACTGTTATGCTGGCTGTCACTTCACAGTTTACATACAGTCTGGGTTCACATCACAATTTCTATTGTTTTATAGTTGATTCATACCTAGTAGCAGAGGTCTCTTGTTCTGGTATATAAGAACAACATTTACAGGTATACCCATATCCCAGCTTTCAGAAGTTTGTTTTTCCCACAAATAGAACCTATCATGAAATACGTTTTGCATGCAAGGGTTTGGTTTGACAGGCTTTTAGTTTCATGTCTATTTTAAGCAAAATTTTCCAAATTTCCACTTTGCTAACTACTGTCTTTCCTATACATGCATTACATCAGTGTCAGGTCATGCTATGGTACAATCAAACACCACACCCTTGTCACCATGGGAACATGACTAAACATTGTCACAACTGCCACTTTAATTTACAGGGACAGTTCAGCTGTCTAGCACTGGCATGGGGGAAGCGTGCAAGACTTTTAAATCAAGAACTTCAGGGTTTTGGACAGATTACTAGTATACAAAATTTCAGGAATGGAACAATCCATGTTTGGGGAAAGATGTTGCTGTTTTACACACAGCTGGTTGCAGAAAAAACTTTCCATGCTTCACCCCCTGGACATCTACCTGCAGGCCTAGGTGACTAATCAAAAATGGAATGAATTGTTCCGGCAGGTCTGAATGAAAGGGAACATAATTATCCAGTCTGCTGCTATAGGCTACAGAATATCTGAATATCAGCAGTGTTGCAACCCTAATGCTGTTATCCTCCAGCTTTGCTGGTCTCTGGGCTACTAAAACTAAAAGCAATTTGTGGTAAAAGGTATTTCCGAACCATTAAATTGTCTGCTTCTGAAACTATTCCACTGGAAAGAAATGAATTATAGATAATGCAGGACATCAGCCTAATAACCTATGGCCATAACCTTGTGGTTATAAACCACAAAAAGACACCTAGTATTAGCATGATCAGATCATGTTTTGAACATGAATTTACATTCCATCCTCACCTGTGGACTGTAGGTGAACTGGAACTTCAACCTCCCCAGCTCCGACAGAAAACAGAATCTTCCCAGGAAAGCCCATTGCTGGAAAATAACAAAAGAGAACATATGGTCATCATCTTCTTGATATACATATACTGATATAGATGAAAAGGCAAGACAACACATGAAAAAGGCTTGCTCTGCTGGTAACATCCTGCAACGATCGATGCAATTAAAATCCTGCAGCGATCTTTGTCTTACACTCTAGCTCTCTAAAAAAATGACTTTAGCTTTGAATGCAACGTAGTATCATGAAACAAAGTCCTAAATGCCACATTCCACACCTCACTTTCAAGATACAGATAAGAATGTTTGCAGTAACAGTTACAATGTATAATTGTATAAATACATTTCTGCACTGTTGCTTCAAAACAAGTCAACTATTATGTCTGCTTGCCCAGCTAGGATTACCATTCCAAGTTAGACCTAAAAATGTCTTAACTACATGCAAAAGGTCATACAATCCTAACTACGAAATATTTTTTTAGTACAAAGTCTCAACAAACAGTATGTGGCAAGGAGTTTGTTGCTGGGGAAACTGAGCTTTTCCTGACTAAAGGACATACACCTGCTTGCTTGGTTACATAGAATTTATCCCCAGTAATCCTCTAAACAGCTGGAGAAGGGACACAGAGGAGGAGATGAGGAGCATCAGTACCAGCTGGCAGGACCTGAAGAAGAAGGCCCAGAGACGAATGCAGTGGAAGAACATCATCGGTGGCCTATGCCCTGGCAGGGGCGAAGGGCCTAAGTAAAAGTAAGTAATCCTCTCCTCCTACCCATCAAAATATTAGTTTGAGTCTACAGAAGAAACTGGCAGGGTCACATCTCTCTATTTTGGAAGCTTCTTTGATCAACTATTCATTTCCTTAAAAAGTCTATGGGAAATGCAAGGACTACAACTAGTACAAGGGTCCAAAGTAAGCAATTTCAGCAACTGATAGTTTAGTTCCAAGGTAACAAAGTGCTCTGCTTCTACTGGAAATGTATATATCAAGTACATGCTGCTGGGTACTGCTTTCTCGCATGTATGGAGATGTCACAGCATCATACGTAGTGTTTAACTTACTCTGCAATTCAGGTAGCATATTGTACCACACAATCTACATGTACAATGTACTGCTACTTTGTCACCATAAAAAATAAAACTGTTGGTGTTAACATTTCCTGAATGAGTACAACTTAAGATTTATCAAGCTGAAGCAGTTTGCAATGAACAGTCAGATTTTTTCGTTGTTAACAGGTACACTGTCAGATATTGATTTTGGCACTATATACTAACGTAGGGTGAAACAATTTTTACCACAGTTAAGCTATGTCAAGTCAAGTTTTGCCTGAAAAGGGTACAAATATTGATTCTGGAACTACACAGTGTATACTTGACTGCTCCTGCGTCATGATGGAGCAAAACTCAAGATACCATGAACTGCACTGAAGGAGAACGGTCCTCCAAGTTTACTCAGAATGTCACAGGAACAGGGACTGCTCAGTTTGAATCGTAACCACAAAAACCACAAAATGAACACTACTAGCACATCCATATTTCCTTTCTTTTTAATGGAAAAGGTAAACAGATATGTTTAATCAATTTCTGTTTCCTTTAGAAAGGCAGAAAGGCTGTGAAGTGGTTACTCAACAACATTTTCATGGCTTAAAACATGTCACCTTTTTCCCTAAAGTGCTACCTGTCCTTTGTGATTGCAGTCTTCTGAGGACAATACCTAATCTTTACAAGTGACTTGAATTCTGAAGGAAGGTCGTCATCTCTGTCAATGTTTTTAAAACTAATTTGTTATCTTACGGATGTTCGTCACTAGTACATTCCAACCTTTAAAGGCATTGACATAAATCACTTCAGACCTCAATGTCATTAGCTCCATAGAGCTATTAAACTGAGCACCTAGTTATGAAAATTACAGTCCTCTTCCATCCAAGATACTAAACCAATGGACTGAATAGAGCTGATTGATCAACATGAGTGCAATTTGAGCAGCCAATAGCTACCCAAATCAGACAGGCTTTTGTTTATCGACTGAGGAAAGGAGTTCAACAGACTGTCCTGAGATCATGCAAGCATTCAGCTGGGACTCTCATGGCTTCTTGGCGCTTTCCAAGAGGACACCTAAGTGAAGACTGTTTCAAGCTGTGCATTATTTGGGGAAAAGCCCTTGAATTGTGCTGTGTTCTTACTTGTGCGGTTGAGGGACATCGCAGCCTCTATGCAAACCATTTGTTATGGTAGTGCTAAAGTAAGTGAAGCCGAACTACAAAGGTCAAATCTACATAGCTAAATATACATGATGTACAGTGAGCATATAGAAAACAGACTGTCTAAAGAAAGATGCTCTCTCAGTGAAAACCCTTTGCTAGTTGTACTGATGAATAATTCTGCCAACGTCTTGAATATTCCAGTCAGGTCTCAAACATCAGAAGATTTAATTTCCAAGACATTGGGATTCAAGACAACAATCTTGTTCATATATTATACATATAAACTAGACATAAATAACATCTGGTTACTACACAAAAGCACTGCATTTGCATTTACATACATATACTAGTACTTGTATCTTTGTATAGCTTGTGTTTTCATCCAAGTTAGAGCTGTTCAAAACATCCTGGGACGTCTGTCTGTGTAACATTGCAAAACAGGATGTTTCCACCAGATTAACTTTTGCAAAACAAAGTTTAACAAAGTGAAAATATGGTCAAATTTGCTTTGTAAAACATTTTCAATAACGGGACAGGGACACGAGCTTCCATATAAATACCAGTGTCTTATGTATCTGTTGTCTAGGATTCAGTCAATATCTGCTGCAATGTTTGCCTGTTGGGCAGGTACATGAAATGTCAGAAGTTCCTAAAGTAAGAGGCAGAAAAAGTATTTTTCCAGTTACAAGTATGTCTTATCAGTACCAGACCAACCATTTTCACTAAACATTGATTCTAGTGTTCTCCAAAAAATTGTCAAACAAAAAAAAACATATTTGAGGATATTCTATAAACATATCCTAAAAAGATTCTTAAATTCTTATTTAAGCCAGTGTGTGTGTACTTATATCATCTGATGAAAAGTAGATGTCAGGGTGCATTAATCATCAAGGCTGCTGTCAAAGCCTCTGGGATTATCCTTACTCTGGGTGTCCACATCCTTTATTCATAAGGCCACACCAATTTAATTTCTTGGTTAACGGATTTTTCTAGAAAAAAATGGAGCGGGCGGGCGAAAAAAAAATAAAAATAAAAATTTGAGACCACCTGCCATACAGCCATGTAGTAAGCAATCCATTAAGTTAAGTAACAAAATGATATAAGACATTATATTAGACACTTATTGAACTGAAAGGACCATTACTACATGTACATGAGCAACTTCTCTTACATCCCTTTACAATTATTCGTATTATTTTGCAAGATACACATCTTTACTGTATGAACAACAAACTGTCCGTTGACAAGACTCCCATCCAACTGGTTTCACTTTTATTCATCTTTCAAAGTTCCAAAGAGTGGTTTAAATCAGGGTGCTCTGTTCAGATCCCATTGTTCTTAGTTCAGGGCACACAGCTAACCACTGGGCTGGGCATTCTATTGTGTCTGGCTGATATGGAAGTTATTTAGAGCTTGAAATTTACAATATCCTAAATATATGCTTTAGACAAATTTCCAGGAATGTGTAAAAGTTATTGGCAAAAGAATTAACTACTTTTACAGATATTTCATTTCTTCTTTTATCTTTCCCCAATTCCCAAATACTACCGGTAGTATACATTTTATATTTCCCATTTTCACTTTAGGTATGCTACAGCTACATTATACATAGCCATCATTCAAACAAATAGCCACATTGACACACTCTTCAAGTTGCCACAAATTCAATGGTCTAGGGTTTCACTATAAAGTCTTTGATGTATGGGGGTTTTTATTTGTAGGGGGAACCATTTTATTAAAGAATTTAGATGTAATAATTGATGTATTATTTGCAATTGTACTCCTGTTTATAGGTATCTAAATAAGATGTAACTTTGTTAGAATGCCACATGCACAAGTAGTATTTTTCACAGAGCAATTTCTATAATTAAAAGAACCTGTTTCCCCCTACTCAAAGTGGACTCTTCCGACCGTGAGAAATAGTGAATGGACTTACGTGCATGGAGGACTTCTTACTTTGCCAAATTCTCATGTTTGTGGTAGGATTTTGTACTTTTTGAGAGTAATACAGTTTGTGATGCCAGAATACATTGTTATGTCGTGTTATTTTTACATATTCCCTGGAAAAAAAGATCGTTTTGAAGGTGTGTGTGCATGTGCCGCTCAGGCCGAGTTTATACGTTCGGCCGATTACATTGTACTTTTAACGCCCGTTACTAGCACATGTTTCCGACACAATACGTGTTTCTAAATGAAATATAATATATATCTAAAAGGGAGATGATATGTTGTTACAGGTAAACTTGGTGACTTATTAAATCTGCCGTACGTTTGACTGTCGTCAGTGAAGTTTTGTCCCATGAATGGTGACATGTGCAAAGGGGGTGGGGGGCGAGTTCTATATCAAAAGAATTTTTTTTGACGAACTTTTGAAGAGGCAACCTAGCTTTCCGAACAAATTGCACTCAGAAAAATGTTTCTGCCTTGAAGCAATGTATTTTTAACGCTGTTAACTATGCCCAAATTTTGAAAAATTACAACGTACCGGGTGGACTTTGGGGCCCCAATTCGGGACCCGAGAGTATGGATTTTTGTTCTGTTTTTATTTTTATTTCATTTTGGCAAAAAAACGAAGCGGCGAATCCGTTAACCAAGGAAATAAATTGGTGTGGCCTAATGCATCAAACAAAATTTGGAAAGATATTAGCAAACTATTTTGAAGCCAACAAAACTATGTAAGGTTAAATCTGAGATGTAGATCGCATTAGTCTTTAATAACACTCAGCTGACCTTGTTATGAGGCATGGATTGCCCCCATAATGCCCTTTTTGTCCACAGGGGAAATTCTATCTCTTCTCATTAGTCCACAATTCTACTGTTGACGTAAGTCGGAACTACCACAGCTTATTCCTGACATAAAAGCTCTTGTACCACATCTCTGTTGGTACATGTTGTTAGTCCACTTCCAGACAACACATAGTGCCTTCTCACAATTTCAAGGCGAAGAAATGAACATTTAGTAAAAATCCATTTCTTAGTTATACCTCTTTTTTTTGTCCTAATTTCTAGGTTTTATCCATTCTGTTGCATAAAAATGATTACGATTTTAATTACTTTGCAGCAACGGTAATTTATCAAGTTTTAATGACATGATTAATTTTGTCCTTATTGACTTAATAAGGGCAGAAGGACTGATGTCACAACCACTTCAAATGTGAGGTTTGAACAAACTACTATGGTTAGGTAGGTCTTGTTTATTTGGACATTAGTATTGAGACTTAAGAAAAGAAATGACACATTTTCATACTACAGTCACTTCATAGGCTTTTGTACAATAGCATTGTGCCCATAAATACCCCTACACCATGCTTTAATCGCTTTTACACACGCATTGACCTACTCTGGAAAACCTACACATGAAATATTCATGTTACATATGACAGACACATGTCAATCAATCAAACTCTACCAACTGTTTAAAAAAGCTTTACCTTTCTAAATCTACTGAAAGGACTTTTTCTAAAAGATAAATATCACATAATATATATTATCAATACATATGTACTATGATAATAGTAGCTATTCTAGTTCATTTTGTTATACCAAATAAAAATGCAGTACTGGTAGCAAAATCTGGACTAACCAGATCAAAAACACGCTAAGCAAACAGAGCAAGGCTGACCCCAGGGTGCATGTTAGTGGGAACTGTAGGTGGCAGAATGTGGGCAGATTGTCTACATTCTTCATCACAGGTAATAACAGTTACATATATACTGTATGTTTTCAATGTTGTATTTGACAGTTGGTCTGGTTTACACATAAAAAAAATGTAGGTAACGTTACATGTACTTTGGCTGGTTAAGCTTTGGTATCATCTCAGGGTGTTCACTGTTCATAGCACTATAAACCTGTCAGGAGGATGTACCAACATACCATTTCCCCCAAAAATGGAGATTTGCCTGTTAATTTATGTAAAAAAACAGTTATCATAATGCCTGGTTTATTTCCTGGTAGGTGTATACAATGACACTCATGGCCCAACAATTATCTAAAGTTTAAAGTAAAGACTTCTTGCATCTCCACAGATGCAAGCTTTTTTCAATGTTCATGGGAATATTTCCTTATTGCTTTTGTCTAATGGTTAAAAAATGTGCCCCTGTAACTCCTTTTTTATTACACAGTATAACGTTAAATGCTACTTCAACTACTTCACTTTTACTTCCTCCATGTCTGTCAACAATAAACCTTCGTGTTCCTGTAATCCTTGATTTCTTGACATTATGTTTTGAATCTACCTATTTATATTTCAAAATACTGTAATACTGTACACAAAACACATCGATCGGACGTTTTATGAATGTACACAAATTATGAGCTAAAACACATGTTCTTCACAAAACCTAAACCACTGACACACTGCACGAGTCAACATACTAGTAAACACCACAGGTCCGGGAATCTGTCCCCTGGGACCTAACGTTATGTCGTTACAGGTCTTACCGTCTAGTTTCGGGTTGGTTGGAATACGCCATTTCTCTCCATAATTCCCCCCCCCCCTATCATGTCTAAGTAATAGTGTCTGCACTACACACTAGTACTAAGAAGCACATCGCCAGGCAAGCGTGAAGTTCTTTATCAAAAGGGGCTCAAACTAAAGCCGTTGCCGGCCGGGCTTGCCGGAGAAGGGGGACGATAAGGTGTGAACTCACCTCCTTTGTTTCTAAATGTCCGGATATATATTTCCCCTGTGAGTGTGACACGTATATCAGCATCACAAAAAGGACGGAAAGTAGTCGATCCATCGCTGTAAACCTTCTGGAGGATCTAAAACTGAGGTTTTTCTCTCGGTGTTGCGCCACAGCTTCTTTCCTCCTTCTTCGCTCTGCCATCTTGATTATGCAAATTTCTCACACGTGACCAACCTGTCGCCAAGCAACCAATAAACTGCATGGCCGCCGTCACGCCCACCACAAAGGTGTACCAACAAGGTGTGACCTAAATGTCATCGCTCACTTTGTCATGCAAATGAGTTACGTTCGCTCCAGGTAGTACCATTAGGGAGTGTTTTTACAAAAGCATCGGAGTGTGTCAATGTCATTAGATGCCTGGCGCGGCAAGGCCTGTCCCTGTCACTTGAATGACATCGTTGTTATGTCACCTAACGTTACCTGGTCTCAGTGAGGCTTGTTTCCACGAGAAGTATGCAACGCTTATTAGTTAATGATAACAAAAGAGATCCATCCACGAATATCTCTGGTTACTGGCTCACGTAACATAACAAGCAGAATATTTGCGCACTTCGCTGACGAACTGTTTATAATCGTTTGCCAATATTTAAAAAAAACACGATTTCATAATGCAATAACGCATTCTGAGGCACGGGTGGTCTGGTATTTCTTTCTTTCTATCTCTCTTTTTTTTATTTGTAGATCTTTTTAATCACGGATCGTCACGTTTAGAAAATACATTGTGTACCAAGCTTGCAAGGTGCTTTATGGCCTGTTATAGTGACCACCGCAATGCAAGTCCACTTCATACTTTGCCCGTGTCACTTCACAGAAACTACCTACACCATCTACTCTGAAAGCTATGATGACTGCCACTGGCGTCGACAGAAGTTAGTTCAAAGCTACTTTTGATACGCTATGTTTTTAAACGTGCCAGCAGCCGTCGGCATGACAACAGATGTGAGAAGTTCGAGAACAACTCAACAAAGCTCTATTATGAATTCCAAGCTTCACCAAGGCAATGCCTGGCTTTAAGAAATGTTTTACGCGCATTGGAAAGCTTAGATCTATTCTTCACTTCCTGCACTGCAAAAGCAATATGCAATTTTGATGTTAAATATTTGGCCATAACTCAGGCATGTCAGGAGAAGTCTTCCCTGTCGATCGAGCTAAATACATTCCTGCAATGCTTCACAGAAGTGCTAGGTGACGTTCTTGAACGCCTTCACGACTGCGCTTCGAATCGGCGGCTATGTTCAGTTCAAATGCCTGGACGCTCGCTTTTTGAAACGAAACTTTGTTGCTTGCTAGGAAATATGTCTAAGTTCAAAGTTCAGAGTCACCAACATGGTATAGATCAGTCTCTGATGGCTGCTAGGAACCTAAAGGTCGTACCGGTCGGTGCATGGGTAGAAGGGGGCCCACAGCAGTCTGCTGCGCCGATATTTGACCCTATGGTAAGTTTGGAACGTGGGGGCGAGGGGAAAATGAGTTTTCTTCCGTTCTTCCGTTAATGTCCGGCTGCCGTCGTCACTCCGACAATTACTGCCGTCACTGACATTTTTGATGTCTGTTGTTTCATGCAATCATGTAAGATGCCATTACAACTAGCCTGTGTATACCATGTTTATTTATTTTTCCTGTGTTTATCTAATGGTAGCTTGCAGCAGTTCACGAAGAAGAGAGGCTTCGACGACTGACCAGAGAGAAAGAGGCGAGGCTGAAACAGTTCCAGAGGGAGGTACGGAGAAGGGTACAAGAGCTGAGGCTCCAGAAGATGGAAGAGCAGCTACAGGACAACTCGCGAATGGTTTGTGAAAATTTTGCTTTTTCATACAATACTAAATATAGGGTTCTACCCGTAACTTCTACGATTATACGTTGTTGTACCTGATAAGATTTTTTTTCTGTCAAATTGCATGTTTCTTCTTACACTTACAGTTACAGCAAATTTAGATGTAACCTGAGATTTTCATAATTTTCTTTACTGAGTGATATTTAACCATTATGAATAAGGAACAGTCCAAAGTGCTTCTCTACTGTGATACTACTCATTACTCAATTTCTTGAACATTATAATACATGGCCTATAGCAATTATAGTGTAAAAAGCAAGAAATAATTGCTGCATCAATGATGCCTTACCCAATAACCAAAATAGATTCAGTGCAAAGTGGCTACCCTAGCATGCTGTACAAGGTTAAGGCAACTTACTAGGTAATCTATATGTGGTTAAAACTTTCTCCATAAAACCAGGTGGACTCAGAGAGGAACATGGTGTACCAGACTGTTCTAGCTGCTGAGAGGGTGACACCAAAGCGAGACCGGCGCCCATTCCGACACAACCAGAACCTGGCCCCGCCCTCTCCCCACGGCATCGCGCCTGGCATCAACAGGGACGCTGTCTGTACTGGGGAACGTCACGAAGACCAGTTTGAGAACCAATGTCATCAAGTAGGCCTTGGAATTCATAGTCATACACTTAGAGATTATCAAAACCATACATAACCCATACAAAATTCTTTTACTTAAGAAGCTTTGGCAAGTGTTGTTTTTGGTTTGTTGTTTTGTTTGCTAATGAAGGTTTTGTTTCGTTTTTGTCCCTGTTTTTGTGGGTAAGCTTCATCCCCTGAAAAAAGTGGGTAATTGTTTGGAGGGATTTATTTCTGGGTCTGGAATAGGAATCCCTGTGCCATGAAGCCATCATTGCAGATGTGACTTTGTACAATGTACCTGATGTCTGTACAGGTGAGACGGAGTACCAGACAGGCGAGGAGGAACCTGGCCAGCAGACAGGTGGTGCAGAAGGAGAACTTTGGGGTGAGTACAACACAAGCTTTCAAATATTAACAGTTACACACTGGAGAATCTGGGTAAATAGTTTTTTAAGTAAGTTTATCCTTGGTGAGTTGTTTACTGTGTTTCCATGGATGATGGTGACATTGTTGTCTCTTTACTTTGTCTCACCAGGATGACTATGATGTCCCAGCCGGTTTGTGGGGGGCCTCACCTACCAGAGATGTGAGTCAGTACAAATATGGAGCTTTAATTTGTAAAAGTTGAATTATAGTCATCTAGCACCTTGTAACTTATGTGTAATCATGGTATTTGTGACTACAGTAATTTTGCAAAATTACCACAACAAACCATTATGATTCTTCTATCTCAGCACCAGTCCAAATTTTCCCAAGAAGTGCCTGAAGTAATAGAACTTGAGGATGAACTGGAAACATCCAGGCATCCAGGTGTCCATGCAGAGGGCAGGCATGGGTTTGAGGACCTTGATACAAAACAACCAGCCTCTTCAGGTAAGATACATCCTAGTGTTACCAACCCTGTGCCGGGCCTTTGCCCTTTCAGCCACTAGGTCTAGGCACGCCCCCTGGCTACCCCCAGTTAGTAACCACTCACACAACATGCAGCTAAGGCAAACACGGCGCTACAAACCACCCATTGGGACAAAAAGATATTTATGCAGTCCTGTCCCCACAATGCTGAACATACTGAATAACCTTGCCATACAGTAGATTTCATTTTATGTTGTTGCACATGATGTAATTGTACTTTTTTATTATTGTCAGTTGTACCTTAGTAATTTGCCAACAGAAGTTGTATGATGTAATTTTAGCATAAATGTGTATTATTCTAGCGTATAAGTGGTGTTTAATGCCTCTCAAGGCACTTTTTATGTATATATATTATGTATTAGTCATGTAATTTTTTAAAAATTTGTAAAAGCTTCTCAATTCAGCCTTTGGCTGCAAAAAGCTTCTAACCTACTGTACTATGTATGTATGAAGTATGTGTTTCTGCAAATAAACCAGTCTATATATATCAACAAAGGACACTAAGTGTAAATCTACTAGCATTTGTAGTCTTGTATAACTTCTTGTAACATCACATGTAGTGGAATGTTTAGAAGGATATCTGTCTAATTTGATCATATCTAATTGATTTCATCATGTGTAGTCGCTAAGTGAATTGTTTTATAAATGACTATAGTCCATGTAATAACAACCCAATCTTTACTTCTGCCCCCCTCCCCTCCAGTTCCAGATGTCAGACCTGGTTTAGCTGCATTACAGACACAACAGCAGGTAAGGAGAAAAAGACTTCCACTCTGCACAACCACAGGACTTCTGTAACAATAGACAACAGCTTATCTTTTGATTCATCCATTTAGGGACAGTTGATTTGTACCTGTAAATCTATGTAGCTCAGTGAAGCTGTAGCTTAACGGTGCCAAGCTCTATGCTTTTGTTTCC